TCTTTCACAATCCGCCCCGGACGGGAAGTGGCACCCTGTAGCATTCTATTCCAAAAGCTTAAATGATGTCCAGCGCAACTACGAAATCCACGACAAGGAGATGCTCGCGATCATCCGCGCACTCGAGGAGTATAGACACTTCCTTGAGGGTGCCGCGCATCCCGTCGAGATTTGGACTGACCATAAGAATTTGGAGTACTTCAGGAAGACGCAGCACCTCAACCGGAGACAGGCCCGCTGGTCCCTCTACCTCTCCCGGTTTGACTTCACGCTGCACCACAAGCCCGGTCGCGACATGGGCCGACCTGACGCCCTCTCTCGGAGACCCGACCACGGAATCGATTCCGACAACTCCGACGTCGTCCTTCTGCATCCCGAACTCTTCCACGTCCGCGCACTCGAGGGCGTTTCCGTTTCCGGTCCCGGTTCCGAACGCCTTCGCGACATTCGCGATGCCCTCTCTGGTGAGCCTGACCTGGAAGAGCCCGTCGCACTAGCGGCCCGGCAACTCCTTAAAGTCCAAGGTCAAGCTCGAGGCCCCCGCTCCTCACGTTCTGACGAGTGGGCCGTCTCCGGCGGTCTTCTCCACTTCCGAGGGAAGATCGTTGTACCAAAGGACAAGGACCTCCGGAGACGCATCATCGAGCTCTGCCATGACACTCGAGTCGCCGGACACGCAGGTCGCTTCAAGACCTTGGAGTTGGTCTCCCGGAACTACTGGTGGCCCCAGATGTCTCGCCATATCGGCCGGTATGTCGCGACCTGTGACCTGTGCTGTCGCACCAAGGCACTCCGGAGACTTCCCCACGGAGAGCTGCACCCGACGGAAACACCCCCAGAGCGTTGGCACACCGTCTCCGTCGACTTCATCGTAGAGCTCCCTGAGGCCCATGGGTACGACGCGATCATGGTCGTCGTGGACACCCTCGGAAAGCGAGCCCACTTCTCGGAGTGCCACACCACGGTCGACGCAGTAGGAGCAGCTCGCCTCTACTACCGGAACGTCTGGCGGCACCATGGGACTCCGGAAAAGTACGTCTCCGACCGCGGCTCGCAGTTCATCGCGGACTTCACCCGAGAACTATGGCGTCTAATCGGCATCAAGCCTGCCACATCCACTGCGTACCACCCCGCAGACGGATGGCCAGACGGAGCGCGTCAACCAGGAATTGGAACAGTACCTGCGGATCTTCACCAACTATCAGCAGGACGACTGGGGACGAGCTGATTCCGGCCGCGGAGTTCGCTTACAACAACCACGTTCACTCCTCCACCCAACAAGTTCCTTTCATGACGGACACGGAACGACTCCCCGCATGGGCTTTGAACCCGGAGTCCGTTCCGCCATAGAGTCAGTGAACGAGTTCCGCGACCGATCGCCACTGGGGTTGCCGAGGCCAAGGCCGCGCTTACTAAGGCCAAGGAGGAGTACAAACGCTACTACGACCGGAGACGCACTCCGTCTCCGGAGTTTAAGGTTGGCGACCGTGTCTGGCTGGATGCTTCTGACATCAGGACGACTCGCCCCTCGGAGAAGTTCTCCCACCGCCGTCTGGGACCATTCAAGATAGTCAAGGAGATCAGCAAAGGTGCCTACAAACTCGACCTCCCTCCACGCTACTCGAAGCTCCACCCGGTCTTCCCCGTCGTCAAGCTCGAGCTCGCTCAAGACGACCCCCTTTGATGGACGCCCTGGCTACGACCAGCCCCCTCCGGACCTCGAGGACGGAGTCCCGGAGTGGGAAGTAGACGAAATCTTGGACGCTAGGATCCGGTATAGGCGGCTGAACTACTTCGTCAGGTGGAAAGGCTACGACGCGCGCCGCACGACCAGTGGGTCCGCTTCGACCGTGTCTTCGCCCCAGACAAAATCGCGGAGTTCTATCGTAGGTACCCCGGCAAACCACGGCACATCGCCTCCGCGACCTTCGACACAATTCCTTTCCGATCTATGCGTCGGGCGCCGCATTCAAAGGGGGGGTGATGTCAGGGGAACCTCCCTTTCGGCCCGGAATCGACCCGATTCCGACTCCGGTGATCGCATCACCACCATCAATCGCATCACCGCCCCCGCCTGGCGATCCCCCTGGGACCTGGCCTGCGACATGGCGCAGGCATACTGCACGGAGCAACGATCAACCTTGGCGCGTCAAGAGCGCAGTATATAGTTCAGCTACCTAGCAGGCGGACCCTTAGAGTTTCTTCTCTTTGGATCCTCCCCTGCTAGGTCAGCTTCCTTTGTATTTGCTTACTGTTATTCACTCTTTGGATCCTCCCCTGCTAGGACCTTGATCTCAGGCCTCCGGGGTTGCCCTTACAGATTATATGAATTTCTTTTCACATGTCATAGTGGTTTGGCTCAATTCTGGGCCTCAAGAGGCAATTTTAGACATTTTCCAGTGCCTCCGAGAACTTCCTAATTAGAAAGGTATATAAATTCAGATTTTATATTAACACCAGAGGCAAGACCCAAAGCAGTAGGGTGCCTAGTGCCTGACATACACAAGGCACTGTTCCAGGGTCTTCCTCATGTTGCCCTTGTGTTCCTTAGGGGCTGGAAGTTCCTGCTAAAAAATATGGGGCGATAGATAGGGACTGGGCCTAGAACTATGCCTACAGTTGTAAGGGCAGCTCCAGAGGCTCTGATGAGAGTCCTAGCAGGGGAGGGTCCAAAGAGAAGAAACTCTAAGGGTCTGCCTGCTAGGGTGCTAACTATATACTGGTCGTCTGTAACTGCTGTTATAACTTGTCAGGCATATCCCAGAATGCCTGTTTATAAACAAATAAAACAGGGGTGTTTATAGACTCCACTCAGTGGAGTGTCTTCAGTGGCAACAGACTTTTCCTCCACGTCCAAGTACCCATAGGCAATCTGTGTCTGAGTATTGGAGAAGGATAACATGTGATGATGTGATACTTGTCCAGTGCCAGCCGCCTAGACGCCACCTCCGCCCGAGCCCACTGGCCGTAACCTCGCCCTCCCTACGCTGCGATAGGGCTCCAACTATTTAGTTTTCATTTACACCTCCAGGTAAACTAAACGGAAATGGTAAGAAAATGTTTAGTAAACATTTATTACCATTTAAAAAGAGTTAAAAATGGTAACATAATAACATAAAATGATCAACAATTTTATGGTACATACTTGAGTTTATAAGGTTTATTCAACTGAAAGATGGCATTTTCTCACTTGTAATACTGTTCTAGATGGGCATGTAGGGCAATATTCATTGCCTTTGGCGTATTTGATGCCAGATCATGTGATGGACTCCTTTCAGAAGAAGCCTACAAATGCAACTAGTATCTATATTTATGTGGAAGGTATGTCTGATACTAGTGTGTATTTGGTAGCTAACTGGTAGTAACATAGTTATGAGCATGTCTGCTATTGTTATCAGGGAATAACCATTTAAACTATTTGTTTTCATTTATTTTACCATTTACATACCATGGTACACCACCAACCCGTCGGCACACTGACCCGATGTCTGTCCTGGATGTCGACAGGATCAAGCCGCCCGATCTCGGGCAAATATTAGCCCGAGATCATTCAGAAGTCAGTCAGGAAATATTGGATGGGTATCATTTGAGCTTTGCTTGAGACGTTGCCAAGAAGATCAGGGCAATGTCATGGTGTGATGTTGCGTTGCAGTACCGGAATCCACTCCACATCAAGTGATGGAAAATTTTCGTTGTCAGGCTGCGATGTCACAGTCACTCAGCCTCACTTCTCTTCTCTTTTCCCCCATCTTCTTCGCTCGACGCTGACTGCCTTCCTCTAGACCCTCCTCCTCTGTGGTGCCGCTGGTGCGTATGCTTGTGCCTGCCTTCCAACACCACTGACCACACATTCTCTGGCTAGCCCTCCCCGATGGTCCTACCGGCATATAGGTATTGACGACCTTCTTCATGCCCACTGTCTTCCTCCTTTTGTGGTGCGCTGTCCCTGCTCGCTCTCTGCCCTTTTGCTGACTATGTTTCTTCAGAATTGCTGTGCAATGGTCTCCACATAGCCATGTCCGCCATCTCCCATGTCGTCGTTTACCTCCCTGCCTGCTTTCCAGAGCTGGTATTCTTTCCCCGTAAGTTATGACTGCCCGGGCCATCCTCCACACTGACTCTCGTCTTAGCCTTCCACATCAGGCATCCTTCCCTTCCCGTCTCTTGCTGCCCCACGGCCCCCACCCACCTGTTCCTTGCCGCCAGCATTGGTGTGGCTATCCGGTGCCTGCTGCTGGTGATGGCAATGGATGGGAGGGACAGGAACCCACTCTGCGCTAGAATGCAATGGACGGTTGGCGTGCTAGTGGTCGGTGGTGCATGTGTAGTTTTTTTTTTTTGTATATATAGCTACCTACTACTAGTACAGTGCAATAAACTATTTTCCTATTCTCTTGATGTGTGAGCTATGGGTCCCATCTGCTGCAGCTGGAAAGCGCCGGCTAAATTCTCACTGCTCTTGGTCCTATGCTAGTCTGGGTCAGGATGTCCTCCTGATATACCTGGTCAGCCAAACATCAGGAAGATATGCTCATTCAATTTCTTTTTGACATCACGCAAATCCGTCACCAACATCACAACTCAACGTCGGGTGATGTTCCAGGATGACATCGGCAATATGTCACGACGGGTTGGTGGTGTAAACTAAAATGAAGATAAAAACAGTTATAACTGTGTACAAACTTGAACATTTGTACATGGAAATGGCGACCAGGGCTCCAACCAGCCCGCGACCGGCGACCCAGTCCGTCTCCGCGTCGGCCTGCAACAGTACCACCAGCGCGCGTCAATCGACATCTTCTTCGCCCGGCGCACGGCATGCAGCGCCGAATCGCTCCCGGGCCTGCAAAACGGAAAAAAACGGATCTATGCTACGACCACGAGCGCGGCACGTACATATCATGTCCGGTAGGTTTTTGTTTCATTCAAACTTCTATTACAAGATTGCTCGAGGGCTGCTTGCCGATTGTTGCCAATGGCCGTAGCATGGTTGTTGTTGACTAATTAGAGTTTCGCAAGCCGCGAGCGGCAACGACCTCTTCGGCGCGGCGCCAACAGTCCCACCCACCCCACGCGCCGCGCTCCCAGTCTTGCTCCCAGCTCTCCAGAACCGATCTTAGAATCACCAGCCGCGGATCAATGGCAGCGAACTCCGCCGCGCGCTCCGCATGAAGCGCCTGCTGCGCGCCGTCAAGTCGCTCGACGAACGGGCCGTGCACGTGCGCCAGCACCGTCAGAGCGGGCCAGCACCGCAGCGCGCTCCGCATCAGATTCAGATCGGGTACATCACCGTGGAAGTGCGCTATGTGCGTGAGCGCGGGGAACGCGGCGGCGAGCCGGGGGAGCGCAAGGGGCGTACCGCGCTGGTGGAAGAGCTCGAGGTGTGTCACGTGCAAGAGCGGCGCGGGTGGTGGGTCCGGCCCGGGCGTGCGCTCCGAGAAGATGGCCACGAGGTTGATGGCGAGGCGGCGGAGGGCCGGGAGGGCGTGCAGCAGGTGAAAGTCGGCGATACTTGCGGGGGTGACGCTCCACAAACGCAGGCTAACGAGGTGTGGAAATGCGCGGAGGATGCGCGGGATGCTGCTCGTCGCGATGTCGTCTTCGGTGTGCAGCGTAAGTCTGCAGACGGCGAGGTGGCGGGTGTGGATCCGGCTTGCGGGACAGTTGTCGATGAGTTGCCATAGCGCGTCGATGTTACCGCTTTGAAAGGTCACGAGGCGCACCCGATAGCGCAACGGTCCGATCCTGGTGTTGTTTGGACCGGAGAACCCACTCCACTACAGTGACTCACCAGATATTGACGCGCCGGGCGACAAGCACCAGCGTGCACATCGTCTCCTTGTCCCTCCACGCCGCGAGCTCGAAGACGACGCGCTCCAGTTCTGGCGGCAACACTGGTGTCGCAACGGTGGTGGTCATTTGCAGAGTGACGTGGCTTACGTGACACGTCTGACATGTTCCACAATCACCGGTTTCTTTTACCATTGACCACCATCAGTGCTGCCGCTGGAGCTCGAGCGCCGTCTTTGAGCTCGCGGCGTGGGGAAATACTAATACTTGTGCAGATGATTGCAACGTTACCGCTTGTGGCTCGCCGCGTCAACATGTGGTAAATGCTCATATATCCTTTCCTTCAAATCTGTAAAAGATGCTTAGGATACGGCCGTTGCGCCTTACCGCATCCCGGACCACCAGGGGATCAGCGGACTATGGATAGTGCTGTCCAATTATGATTATGAATACATGTTTTGCATAATATATTCATGTTCATATTCTTGGGAGTATACTGTAATGTGATTGTATTTATAATCTTGAATATATATTCGATTATATTCAGAATATATTCAATTATGCTCACCCTATCAGAGTGTCCCCTAGAGTGCTGTAGAGACCAGCTATTATGTCCTTTTGACTTGAGAAATGTTTTAGTGGAATTTATTGGTGCTGGCATATGTCAAAACAACTGTTCTAAGTCAATGCATTGCATGATCATATGACTGGAAATGGGAGTCAAATGTCTGAAAATGAAGGGCCACTGGTTTGTAGGGTTTAGAGTCACTCAACTACTTAGTCTCTAAAGGAAGCTTTTAGAGTATGTTTCTAGTAAAATAAACAGGCTAATCAAGTGTTGACACAGGTGATGCCATTAATGTACATATAATGAATATGACCTTGGCATAATAAAATTATATTCATATTTATTCATATTTATAATTCTGCCAGTGAATATGCAGGAGGCATATTACTGCCCGACTTGGCACGCTGTTCAGGACCAAAGTTCCTGCAGGCCGTCTCAGGAATATCTTTGTTTGTTGGCACAGCGGGCAAGCCCGCACGTATGTCAGACTGCGGGTTGGGCTGTGCAAGGACCTCTCCTAAGAACGTGCGCCTGGAACAGAACAGACAAATCGTCAGGCCTGCGAGTATGGCGAGCGGGGTAGATCAAAACTGAAAGGGCCCTGTCAGGGGAACCCCTGCTTCGGCCTCCTTCGGACCGTCCGAGCGCATCCGAGGCACATCCGACCGGCGCCCCCTCGGACGCTCCGGCCCACCCCGACCATCGTCCACGGCCTCCTTTGCCCACCAATCACCGATCTGTCAAGACCCTCCCAATGATCACCTTGGGACAGAGCCTGTGACACCGCTCAGGCCTTCTGCGCTCTATGTCGGCAGTGATGGACGACCCAGTATATAGTTGGCGCCCTGGCAGGCGGACTCTTAGAGTTTCTTCTCTTTGGATCCTCCCCTGCTAGGTCGGTCCCTCCGTGTATTTCCGTAGCTTTTATTCACGCTTTGGATCCTCCCCTGCTAGGCTTTTGTCGGAGTCTCCAGGGTTGCCCTTACAGGCCCGTTAACTCGGTCCCTTGTCACTGTCGGTGGTCGGAGGTTCGAATCGGGTCGTGTCGGGCCTGATGAGTTGAGATGGCACCTCTTTGCATGGAGTAAGGTAGTTCTTCAAACAATCTAAGCGATAGAGTACATGGTACGCTATCGCGCCTTATATACACGGGCCTGCAAAGGGGGTGATCGGACACCCTGGCCCCTCCTGCTCCTCCTCGCTCCTGTTCCTGGCCACAGAGGGGGACGATCGTACATCCCTTGCGGGCTAGGCGCTACTCCTAACCTCCTAGCACTCCTCCCCAGTCCCCTGGTGTCGAGTTGGGCTCGGCAACGGCTCGACGCATCGTTTTCGGTCATGTGCTTCCCACGTGTGCGTTCCTCTTACTGGGGTGCATGTTCCCCGTCATCACGTGCTACGTGTTACAGGCCCGTGGTGGCCCGACACCAGCGCCCGGAGAGGACGGGCCGGGTCTTATCCGTGACATCACCCCCTCCCTAGGAACGACTCGTCTCGAGTCAGCGTGGCTCGGTCGCCCGGTTTCTCGGGTTCTTTAACTTTAGCTTGTCCTTCCAATCACAATTTCCATCCAGCCCATAAGCTTAAGCTAAGCTTCGGCTGCGCATTTTAATTTCCCGCGGCTTCTGTTGCCTCGTGGCGTCCGCAGATCGCTTCTTCCTGTCCATCAAGTGTTTCCCCGCAGTCACATTCGCAGGTGTGTTGGTGTTTCCAATTCAGTTTTGCGTCCTTTGTCTGTATTTTGCTACTTCGGGCGCCTTCGGGGCGTCTCACTTGGACCTCCTTTTGCAGGTGTTTTCCATGTGGAATGTTCTCTGTTTCGGACCATATATAGGCTGTGTCGTCCCCCTTTTCTTTATCTCTCTTCGCCCCTCCGCAATAGCTTCCCACTATAGATTTCTCGACGAGACGCTCCCTTTGTATTCTAGCACAATCCCGCCGTCACGGGTCGTGCTGGGTTTGCTCTTGGAGCACTTCTCGTTTCTCCATCGTCTGGGCCGACGGACTACCCTCAACATTCCTCGTTCGTTGTTCAGCAGTCGGGCCTTATCGACTTGGCAGACCTGCCGGCCTGACAGGTGTCTCGCCTCCCCGTGCATGGGGTCGATCCTTCTCATGTCTTTGTGCGGAATCACTTTGCCTGCTGCCCCTGCCTTCACCACTCTCGTGCCCCTCGTGGGTCGCGTGGCTATTTCCGAGACCCTTCGTATCGGTTCTCCCGTCCCCCCCTGTCATCTGCCCTCCTAGTGTTATCTTGTGGGATTGAGTCCACCGCTCTCTGGGATCCCTCGGTGTTCGGCCCTCACGACCGGTTTTTTGGGGCAAATATGAAAAAACCCAAACGCGCGGCTGGTGATTACCTCTCGGACGCATGCTACTTTTAAGAAAGATGTGGATCTTATCTTGGCTCCATTTTGCTCCATTCTTGATCACCTTTTAGCTTCATCGAAGCTTTCATGTCACGCCCAATGAAACTGCTCCAAACACTGATCCAACAGCACATCAATCGCCCCTGGAGCTAACCACATCATTGGCTCGTCACCTTCCACAACTCAAGATTACCTACGAACACTGTGCCTGCGTGGCTCTCATGCTTGCAGTGACAGCCATATTTTAACTGAGGTCTCGTTATAGCGCAAAGTCTACCTGAAATGTGTAAAGTATTCACCACCAAAAGACTTCTGGTAAGAGTTGGAGAAGGAGTGTGGGCAGATCAGCAACACAGCCTATAAGATAGCAGTCGAAAAGAACTACCCAAAGCCAACAAAGGCTCAAGTATCTGCTTGTTTAAGCAAGTGAGTCATAAGATCTTCTATGTTTGTATGTCTTATAACTTGATATAGAATCTACAAGGAGATTGTTCAAAAGGATTGTGCTTCTCATGGAAACCTCAAGGTGGAGAAAGATGGGATTGATGAGCGTGTGTCTGGGAGAACAGGGAACACTGGCCTCATTCAGCCTGCAAGTGTTGGTCAAAGTGAGAATCTGGACAATGATGGCAGCCAAGAATAGATAGCTCCTGCCAAATTTTTTTTTTTCAACACTTATCTGCCTGTGCCACGCCTGAAATGCAAACCAAAACTGTATATTGGAAACAAGCTATTACAGAATGCCTCTGGCTGCTGGCCACTAAGCTGACCGGTTGGACTCCAGAAGACAAAACAGGCCTTAAACAATCGGTCATTATGGCCGGAACACATCTTTGTCCTCTACATGTTTACTGGATGGCAGGTACCGGGGCTTCCACTTGGTCAAAGCAATATATAATTGGTATCCAGCATTGTCTGGAACCATTCCATATCCATTGTTGATTTTGTCTGGAGGCCAAGCACCATTGTGCTGTCAACCAGTCGCACCTTGCTTGGATTGTCCAGCAATGGTTCCGGCTGTCAGGGGAAACTGTCAGGGTTCGGGTCGGGCCAACGGGCCCTATACGGCCCATCGGGCCCTCACCACCCTTAGAGCCCTAGGGCTTGACAAGCCCTCATAATTCACAAGCTCAAAGCAATGAGCAACAACACTAATATCCCAGAGAAGGGACATAATCACGGATCGCGCTTTAGTCAGCCATCAAGACATCATGACCCGCCATCAGGGATCATGATGCGCCGCCGGACGCCCTTGACAGCGGGCCCAATCGGCCCTAGACAACCACAGGGTCCAGGAGGGAGCTCCTTACTGTTGCATTGTCAAACACTCCTTAGTGTCGACATTGGCATGGCTCCTTTCCAGAGGAATGGTCCCTGGGCTCCTAGCGGAGCGACCAGGGACGACCAGAGACATCCCCTGCTCCATTCTGATCGACCCTCAGCGGGCCCGATCGGCCCCTAGCGCCCACAGTATATAAAGACCGGAGTATTACTCCTGTACCTTAGGTTTAGCATTGAAGTCTCTTCCTTTGAACCCTACTCCGGCCTGGTCCCCTAGAGCGGGGTTGCTGCAACCATACCCCGGGAAAGGGGCGTCTAGACGACTTCCAACACCCAGGCTAGCTTGCCTCATTGACCTGAGCCCTTGGTTGGGCTGGACAGCTCAGGCTCTTGTCTCTTATGTTCACCCTTGTCCTAGCCACTTCTTCCTGCTCTCTGGCCTCAAGCTCTGGGTTCCCCTGGTACGGGGCGATGGGAGGGTGCGGGCCCGATCGGGCCCGCATGTCACGCGTCACACCGCGCCGTCACGCGGTGTCTAGGAGCCACAGCAACTCGTTACTCCAGGAAAGGAGATATGTCGCCCCTTGGACTGGCAACCCTTCTCAAGCGCTCCAGGGGTCTCGGGCCCGCAGCCCCTGTTGTGGGGCGACTCCCCTCGACCCCCGAACCGTCGGGCGTGACCGCGTTACGTCACGCCCCGCCCGAACGGCTTGTTCAACTGGCCCAGCCTATGCCTTGCCCTATGTCTTGGGCACCAACTCTACTAGGCAGCGATCTTTGGCTATGGACTCGTTCCCTTCAGCAGGGGTAGGAAACTCTAGACGACTACTCGTATCCTGTGACACCGCTGTCACACAACGTGGCAGCGGGGGCGTCTCGAGTCGCCCCGAGCTGTCCCTACCCTGCTCTCT